GAAACTGTGACTTCCCAAATACTCTTTGCTGTGAAGTCATTTCCAACAAAGATATCACAGAAGCAACAAAGATATCATAGAAACATAGAAAACGAGGGTTGGAAAAGGCCTCAAGGGGTCACGTCTAGTCCAACCCCTGCTCAAAGCAGGACTAGCCCCAGCTCGATCATCCCAGCCAAGGCTTTGTCTACCCTGGTCTTAAACACCTCCAAGGATGGAGAGTCCACCACCTCTCCGGGTAGCCTGCTCCAGTGCTTCACCACCTCCTAGTGCACAAGTTCTTCCTAATATCTAACCTATACTTCCCTTGCTGCAACTTGAGACCATTAAGCCCATTGCTCCTCATCTGCCACTGCTGAGAACAGTCTAGCTCCATCCTCTTTGGAGATGTACCTGCCTGGTGGGGATGACCCATCAAGCTGGTCTGTTCAAGCACTAGGAAGAGACATCTAAGAGAATGAGTGCTCTCAGGGCAATGGACAATGAATACAAGTACCTGTCCAACCCAAGCACTGTAAAATTCATCCAACAAAATCTGAAGAAACGAGAGTGGACCTGTGTATCCAGCAGGGCCTGAGAGCTGGAAAGCTGCAGTCTAACAGCAGCACCTTTGGCTGTCTCCCACAAATCACCAGTCTCCATTTTTTAAAGGTATCAAGGGGCCCAACTCCCACTGTCCTTAATCTCTGTGCTTTGATGCTTCCCGTTGTAAAGGGTAGTCTCCTGTTATGCTTCCCCAGAAATTTTACAAACGGATACTATCCGGACCCGAAGCATCCCGACTGCTTATCTGCTCCCTAGGTTAGTGCCTGGGAAGTACGAGCCTCATAGGAATACTATTAACAAGCAGGTTACAGAGACATCTGCTCTCCAAGCGCAACCACAATTGCTCTTCGCTGCCAACAAGTGACCCCACAGTCCAGCACACACTGCTGGGCCTTTAGCAAACAGTCTCTATGACTAGAGAGCCACTTTTTGCTCCTGCTTTGGGCACTGCCTTCATAAGATTTTTGAAGACCAGGGCAAGGAACTTCTCTGCCCTTTTCCTTTACTCTTTAGGCAAAAAAAGAACTCCCCCCTTTGGCAACTGCCTGCTTTTGTCTGCGCCGATGGAAGTGAGGGCCTAACAGCACTGAACAGGATAACCCAGAACAGGAACAGTCACCAAGTAAGTTCCCCTTCCTGGCTCAGAGCAACTAATGCTCCTCCACCCTAACCTGTGCACCCACTGCTAATGCAGTCCCTACATGTGATTCTGCCTCCCAGCTCCTGCTCAGGCTGTGAGCACAGACTGCTAAACACCCTGGAAGATGCTGCCAGACTCCGAAGTCTGCACAATGTGGGTTGGACCGTTTCCCAGCAGAGTGCACTGCAGTCTCTGCAGTGTGGTACAGACCTTCCCAACCTGGTGTTACACTAGCGAGCTTGGGTACTGGAAGCTGCCTTGCTACAGCAGGATACAGCATGAGGTTCATTTACTCCTCTTCTTGGCAGGGCAAAAAAATTCACACCGATCTCTGCACTGCCGCAACAGACTGCTTCCAGTACCTGAGCTGAGTAGTTTCAAGCCAGCGCCCATTGCAGAAACGCCAGTGTAGATGGACATCCACACACACAACTCTTCTGGAGCACCACTCCCAGGACCCACTGTTCCTCCTGAGCATGCTGCATCTGCTAGACAGTCTCAGGCCAGCTCAGGAGACAGCTGAACACCTTCCTCATTTCAGAGAGGAGCCATGCAGCAGAGCCTCTTTTATCCACGCAGAGGTCTCAAAAAGCACATCCCCACTCACTTGTCCAGGTAGATGAAAGAAAGCCCACACGTGTGATCCATCTTGTCTACCAGCAGGCCGAGTTCAGAACGCAGGTGCGGCACGCTGGACCCCGTTGGAGACTTGTCCAGGAAACTCTTGCACCGCTCAGAGACTTGCTGCAAGTCACATTTCAGCCGCTGCAAATCCTCCTGCATGCGCTGCGGGGGAGACAGAGAATTAATAGCCACGTATAGCACAGACCGGCAGGAAAAAATGCTGAGAAAAGCAGGGGCTGCCATGGCACAGAGCAGACAGACACACAGATGAACAAGATAGGGGACAGGAAGATCACTCTGATATTTCCAGCGTAAAACTCAACTCAGCAGAATCCTTTCAGAGCCAATTAGGGCTGGACTCTGAGTGGCTTCCACTGGCATTGCACCATTTTCTTTATTCACTTCCACTATCAGATTGTGCCACACTTAGCCTTGATGGCTGTACAGACCAAGAGCATTCAATCTTCTGGAACTGCTGCTTCTTTTATCCCAGTTGAGGGCAGCAATTACTGCACGTGATGAGTTTGCCCAGCTGGCTTCCAGCAGTGTTGTTTGCAAAAGGCTATGCGTGTGCTAGTTGCAGCACACAGAAAAGGAGCATACATTTCAATAGGATTTCCCCCCCACCCCTTCGGATTCACGTCTTGCATTCAGCGTCTGCTCAGTGGGTGGAGGAGTGGGTTGGGCTTGTTGTCATCTTTCCACAGGGAAAACCATAGGGTGGGAAGAGATGGGAAACACAAAGAAGCAGCGAAGCAAGATGCATTCACTGCCTCTCACTTAAAGAGTAAAACGCTCCACCCTGGCAGAGGGAGATAAGCAGGGGAGTCCTTTGGTAGTATTTATGCCTGGGTATTAGTGCCACCTGCACATCCCACTTCCCTCTGTGCTGGAAGGACTGACCTCTTGCTCTGCAATGCGGAAGGTGTTCTCCT